TAGAAACCATAGCTTCTAGTGACTGGACTCATTCTGATTGTATACTGCTTTTAAAATCCATTCATGTTGTTACATGGTTCAGTACTTTATTTATTTGTTTGTTTATTACTTTTGAATTTTCTATAGGATATGTGTGCTTACTAAGGAGAGACACAGGGAAAGGGAAAGTGAGATAGCATTTCTTAGGGGAATGGTCACACTGCAGTCTCTTCTCCTGCATTTCCTCTTTGGAATTCTGGGCATGCACGCAAATGTACCTGATGTGTTTCTCAGGCTACCATGCCCAGGACTTGAACTGTACAGTCAGCCATATGGGATCCAGCCACCTTAATTACCATGCCATGGTTTGGCCTATTTATCTCTATTTTTAAAAAAATGCTCAAAAGTATTCTTGTATTCTATTTCATGGGCCTACCCCAATTTGCTTATACACCAGTTAATAGATATTTGGTTGTTTCTAGACTCTGGCTATTATAAAGATGCTATAAACATTTTTGAATATCATAGGTATTTTGGGTAAATATCTATGAGGAATTATCATGCAATATAGTGGCCATATATTTAACACTATGAGACACTGCTAAGCTGTTTCTCACATTGACCTTCCTATTTCACAATCCCATTTAACTTCTTTAAAAATTAACCTTATTTTCTTCAGGTGACAATGATAATCTATTTACTTTTGCCTTTTTTGTCTCCTGGGGAAAGAGTCAGGACCTGTGACAGTAAGCAGAGCTACAATTAACCACGGCTCTTGTGTTAGAATGCTGGAAACTGGGTCTGTCCTGGGAAACTGGGAATGAATTATCCACATCTATGATTTAACAGAACATCATTTAGTGTGGAAGTCCGACAGGTCTTCTGGGAGATTTTTTTGTTAATCCTTTTTTATATTTGTAATTGCCTTCTTAAAAAGTTCACTCTTCTATAGTACAAACACCATTCACTTCAGCATCTTAGCATTCTAGCCACTGTCCTCACCTTCTATCTCATTGGCTTGCTGTCTGGTTCCTTGAACATAAGTCAAATTCAAACTTGGTCATTAATTTAAAATTATTCATGTTCCATGTTTAAAAATAAAAGTGATTGAGCCAGCAGGTAACATGGAGATTAAGGTGTTGGATCCCACACGGTCTACTTCATGGTTCAAGTCCTGAATCCAGCAGCTTGAAAACCATGCCAGGCGTATGTGCATGCATGCCCGAAAATCACAAAAGGAGACTGGAGGAAAAGGGATAGCAGTGTTACCTTCCCCACTGAGCAATGATTTCCTCTCTTTGTCTCCCTCTGGCAAGTACACACACTCTATAGAAAAATAATCAAAAGAAAATTTCATGACACTGGCACCAACACTTAGAATTACTATTGTAGTCAAAATAAAATCACTAAAATTTCTAATAGTAATATCTTGTTTATGTGTTAAGATAGTAATATCTTGTAATGTGTTTATTCTTTGCATAACCTTTCATCAAATTCTAAAATGAGACTTTGCTTTTAAACTTTTTATATTTGATAAGGAATGCATGTGCTCAGTGGAGAGGAGAGAGAGAGGGAAATGAGAAAATACCCCTCCAAGGGAAATGGCTGTGCTACAATCCCTTCTCCATGCTCCTCTGGGAATTTTGGGCATGCACGCACATGTATTCTGTCTGACCTACATTCCGATTCACTAGGTTACGAAATGCAGGTGATTCGCAGTAGAGAAGGACTGTGGTTTGCAGTGGTTAAGGTGTTATAACACTTTTAAGTTTCTTCCCTAACTGATTGTGCTTATAGCACTGGATGATGATGTGAGAATTATGATGCCATCTTTTTTTTTAATTATTATCTTTTTTTTATTCTTTCATTTCTTTTATTTATTTCATTTTCTTTTATACATTCAATCACATTATTATTTGGCTTACCAAATGGATATTTCAACAGGTGAACATCTCTCCCTGGTACAGCTGGTAAAACTACAAAATATCTTCAACAGATAATAACACATTTTTTTGTGCCATTAATGCTTTGCCTCCTTATTTTTCTTCTCAATGTCCTTCCTCAGACTCTCCTCTTTTACAAACATTATATCTGGTATTTACAACTATATACTGTGTTTCTATATCCTTTAGTCAATTAGTTTCAGTCACAGAGTGCAGACACTCAGTATATATTAAGTGGGGACATACAATCCCTCTCCTGTATAGCCTGGCTTGCTTCACTCAGCAGTAAATCTTCCATATTAATCCACTTCATCCACTTCCTTTCAAAAGCCAGGGTTTTGCTGTTTTGTTTGTTTGTTTGTTGGTTTGTTGGTTTGTTTTTAATGGCTGAATAGTATTTTATTGGGCATATGTGCCATAGTTTTCCTATCCACTCATCTGTACGTGAGCATTTGGGTTGTTTACATGACTTAGCAATTGTGAATAGTGCCTCAATAAACATAGAGGTGCAAGCTCTTTTCCAATTAAGTATTCTTCTGTCCTCTATGATGCCATCTTAACACAACTTCCCACTTTGCAGAGTTTCCTTCACTGAAAGAAATGTTCTGAATACAATAGTAAGATGAATCATGGCACATTTGGAGTTGGCTCAGTGGAAAATTCATATGTATAAACATTATATGCTTGGAAAATTGTAAAATATAAACAATTCAGGTGGATTTTTTTTTTTTTTAGAGAGAGAGAGAGAGAGAGAGAGAAATTTTTACTATAAGGTCTGTGTGCGTCTGTGTGCTTGCTGGAGAGAGAGAGAGAGAAAGAATGTGAGAAATCACCTTTCAGGGGAGATGCCATGCCACAATCCCTTCTCCATTATTCTCCTGGGATTTGGAGTATGCATGCACACATGCCTGGTATGAGTTTTAAGCCTTTAAGTGCACAAACTGTGGTCAACTGCATGAGAGTCCAGCAGTTGACTACACCATCTGCTGGTCCTAAGGTGGACCTTTTTTTATATGAAAGAGGAGTTTCATATCTACACAATTGACTTGGATGTTATAATCACATAGGATTTTGTATGGATCCCTGTGGTAACCAGCTACTTTGAAATGGAATTTTATGTGATATAGATTACATATAATACATCTTTAAGTGCACAGTTTGATGATTTTACCAATATATAGACTCAAGGTATAGAATCTTTCCATCACTTCTAAAAATTTCTTCTTGTTATTTTACATCCAGTCTCTACCCTTGGTTCTAGCTCATGCCAGTCATTCACCTGGTTTCTGTACTTATTCATGTTGCATTTCTAGAATAGCATACACATGAAATTATAGAAACCATAGCTTCTAGTGACTAGACTCATTCTCATTGTATACTGCTTTTAAAATCCATTCATGTTGTTACATGGTTCAGTACTTTATTTATTTGTTTGTTTATTACTTTTGAATTTTCTATAGGATATGTGTGCTTACTAAGGAGAGACACAGGGAAAGGGAAAGTGAGATAGCATTTCTTAGGGGAATGGTCACACTGCAGTCTCTTCTCCTGCATTTCCTCTTTGGAATTCTGGGCATGCACGCAAATGTACCTGATGTGTTTCTCAGGCTACCATGCCCAGGACTTGAACTGTACAGTCAGCCATATGGGATCCAGCCACCTTAATTACCATGCCATGGTTTGGCCTATTTATCTCTATTTTTAAAAAAATGCTCAAAAGTATTCTTGTATTCTATTTCATGGGCCTACCCCAATTTGCTTATACACCAGTTAATAGATATTTGGTTGTTTCTAGACTCTGGCTATTATAAATAAAGATGCTATAAACATTTTTGAATATCATAGGTATTTTGGGTAACTATCTATGAGGAATTATCATGCAATATAGTGGCCATATATTTAACACTATGAGACACTGCTAAGCTGTTTCTCACATTGACCTTCCTATTTCACAATCCCATTTAACTTCTTTAAAAATTAACCTTATTTTCTTCAGGTGACAATGATAATCTATTTACTTTTGCCTTTTTTGTCTCCTGAGGAAAGAGTCAGGACCTGTGACAGTAAGCAGAGCTACAATTAACCACGGCTCTTGTGTTAGAATGCTGGAAACTGGGTCTGTCCTGGGAAACTGGGAATGAATTATCCACATCTATGATTTAACAGAACATCATTTAGTGTGGAAGTCCGACAGGTCTTCTGGGAGATTTTTTTGTTAATCCTTTTTTATATTTGTAATTGCCTTCTTAAAAAGTTCACTCTTCTATAGTACAAACACCATTCACTTCAGCATCTTAGCATTCTAGCCACTGTCCTCACCTTCTATCTCATTGGCTTGCTGTCTGGTTCCTTGAACATAAGTCAAATTCAAACTTGGTCATTAATTTAAAATTATTCATGTTCCATGTTTAAAAATAAAAGTGATTGAGCCAGCAGGTAACATGGAGATTAAGGTGTTGGATCCCACACGGTCTACTTCATGGTTCAAGTCCTGAATCCAGCAGCTTGAAAACCATGCCAGGCGTATGTGCATGCATGCCCGAAAATCACAAAAGGAGACTGGAGGAAAAGGGATAGCAGTGTTACCTTCCCCACTGAGCAATGATTTCCTCTCTTTGTCTCCCTCTGGCAAGTACACACACTCTATAGAAAAATAATCAAAATTAAAATGAAAGAAAAATAATTAAGATAGTCAGTGAGAACTGAGGCATGTGTATGTGCAAATGTGTTTAGCACCTAGAATTAGACTGTTGGCCATTTCTGGGTGACAGAAAATGTGTGTTTGGGTATGGACTGGGAGAATGCCAACATGCAAACTTTCTTTAGATAACACATTTTCAACAACATGATTTTTCATAATAGGATTTAGGTTTCCTCCTCCTCTCTAATATATCTGGCTCCCCAACTCCCAAAGCAGAGATTAAGCTTTTCTGTTTCACTTCCAAACTAGTAGAACTTGGTTTTGCTTGGCTGCAAAATTTCCATGTCGTATCAAAAAAAAAAATTCATCTTGAAGTTTGAAAATATAAATGAATTACAGAATTAATCCATGTACTTTTTTTCTTTATTCTCTTGCAGTCCAAAAAAATCCAAGCCCAGCTAAAGGAGCTTCGTTATGGGAAGAAGGATTTATTATTTAAGGTAAGCATCATTCTCGCCCTCAGCCTGCTCACTTAACACCTAAACTATCAATTAAAAAAAAAAAATTAGTTTCTTAACTTTCTCAAGAATAAAGCTCTATTTGACTGCGTTAAAGATACTTTCATGTTCTTTCCTCCCTAATTGGTGGAGATAAATGAAGCATGATTTCTTAAGTACAGGCCTAATCAAAGGCACTCAGCCCAAAGAGTTTAAAGTTTCTTTGAATCTTCAGTTACTTTAATTCAACACCAAGCAATATTGTCTTTTGGAATATTTACATAAATTAGAGCATTTATTGAGGCTATTTCGAAAGATGAAGTTCATTGATGATCTGTAGTCCTGATTTCCAGAGATACCTCCATGAATCTCTTTATTGTTAAGTCATTATATTTGTTAATGATTATTATTGATTGATTTGGCCTTTACCAGGCTATTTGATAAATAGCTATGACTAAATCGACATTCATCGCCCTCTAGGGATGTAGTAGATTGAATAACAATCCCCAAATACACAAGTGCTAGTGCCTGGAACCCATAAATGTTATTTTTATGTGACAATGAACACTGCAGAAGGAACTAAGTTAGAGATTTTGAAAAGGGAAGTTTTTTTGTTTGTTTGTTTTTTTCTAAAGAGCTTTTAGCCTTAGGGTGGATGCACTCACCAGAGAGACAGAGACAGTGAGAGAGAAAGTAGGAAATCACTCTCTAGGGGAGATAGCCATGCCACAATCTCTTCTTTATTTCTTCCTGGGATTTTGAGCACACCTGCATCAGTGCCAGGAGTTTGTTTCAAACCACTAGGTCCAAGACTCAAACCAGGTCAACCATTTGTGAGTCCAGCAACGTAACTGCTAAGCCATCTGCTGGCCTCAAAAAGGGAAGATTGTTTTGATTATCCAGGTAGTACTGAAATATAACCACATGAGCTTGTGTAAGAGTGAGGCAAGATGGTGTAACCCTGCAGCCTGATGGTTTAGGGAAGCTGAATCTCGCCTGGGCAGCCATGGTTCAAATCTCAGCTCCAGGAGCTTGAAAAAGACTTCAGGGCTTATGCATCAGTGCCCCAAAGGATGGAGAAATGAGAAAGAAGGGATGACCATGCTCATTAGACAGTGCTTTCACTCTCTTCCTTTTTCTTTCCCACTTTCTCTTTGTCCTTCTTTTTCTTTCTGTCTCTCTCTTTCTCTGGTGAGTGCACATACTCTCTGACAAGTCCAAAAACAAAAACAAACAATTAAACAAAAAACAAGAGTAGAATAAGGCAAGTGGTCCAAAGAAGAAGAAGGCTATGTGATCACAGAAGTAGCAGAAGAAAAAAAGAAAAAGAAGTTTTTTATAGCTTTGACAAGAAACTAGACATGCCTACATAGTAAATGTTAATCCCATGAAATTAATTTTAGACTTCTTATCTCCAACTGTAAAAGAATAAATTTGTATAGTTTCTAGCTAGTTAGCTTGAAATCATTTGTTTTAGCTGCATGAACAAACAAATATATACCTTTCTTCCCTGGAGCAGGAGAGATAGACGAAGGTGATTTTAATTATATCGCATGGATATTTGCTTTGCCAAATGCAATTGCATGATACAGCAGTAAGCTCTTAATACTAAGGATAGCAATGTGTTTAATAAAATAAGTGTAAATTACTTCATATATAATATTTTAAAAGAACATTTTCTTTACAATGATCAGTCCTATCAAGGAGGGTTATGTTTAAATTAAAGTGAAAAAACTATGTATTTTATTTAATGTTTTATTTAATGGTTTGAAAACTTGTGCAGTTTTTTTTTTTTTTTTTTTTAATAAAAACAACAAGAGAACACTTTTTGCTTCCCTTTAGTACCTTTACTTTTGGCTTAGAGTTACAGTAATGTGCTCCCATTGTGTCAACCAGTATTTATTAAACACTCATTCCAGGCCAGGGATAAATCTGGGCACATCTTACCATTTGCTCTTCCATAAATATGCTTCATGCCATTCTGTTGGCTTCACTTATAACAAGATATTTCCTAGCACTCCAATCAAATTGTGAATTAATTCGCACTGATACTTACTCACTCTAACATCTAGAACTCTGCTCTTCTTATGTAGTAAGTAGATTGTTTAAGAATTTGAAACCTATATTTCTTCTACCTTTCATCATCTCTCATGCTGAAAGTCTTGAGTTCAGGGTATCGGAAAGCTTATGTTCAGTCTTACCTTAGCTTTTGCTATTCTTAACAATAAATGAAATGAATAACAACAACAACAATAAATACAGTAGTTTTTATAGCAGTAAGAACAAATACAGATAGAGTGTTTTGTGCGTGTGCATCTTAATTAGCAAAGAAACTTCTAGTTCTCGTGAATGAGTTTAACTGAATAAGGTCCGGAGTGTTATAGAACAAAATCAGGTTCTCTATGGCTCATGAGGAGTACATGTTAGGCTGAGTGACTTAAACAAAGATAGAAGGTCATATGAGACTTTTAAAATCTTTTGAATTTTCTCAAATTGAAGAGTGTTAGAAAAGTTGGGGGAAGAAAATGAGAAAATACAGTAATGTTCATTGTTTTATTTCTTTGTAATATGCCAGTTCAACATAGATTAGAAACTTTTCAGTTTTCAGAAATAACCTAAATCAGAGTTTATTGAAAATCGTTATGACTTCAAACATGAGATGTGATATTTGTAAGCCTCATGGTCTCACGTCACTTTGAGAGGTGCACATACATGTGAAGCCAGGAGAGCTGCATGTGAGTGAACCGTGAAGCTGCCTGAATCAGCATGCAGTCAGCGTATACTGTCCTCCAAAAGCTGTTTCACAACAGGATTTTTGTTAACTCAAAAATAATGAGAGGTCAGGACTGGTAGGTGGTGTGCTGGTTAAGGCACTGGACTCTCACTTGGCCAACTGCTATTCAAGTCCCAGACCTGACGGCTTGCTTTTTCAGTTTCCGTTTCTCTCTGGTCAAATTTAAAAAATAATATTAACAAACAAAATTAAGTAAATAAATGATTCTACTTTTTTTTTTTTTTTGGAGAGGTTTTTGCTATAGGGCGCATGCGCTCGCCAGAAAGACAGAGAGAGACAGAAAATGAAAATCAACCTCCCAGGGGGGATGGTTACGCCACAATCCCTCCTCCTTCATTCTCCTCGCAGGATCTTGGGCACACACGCACACGCCCGGCGTGAGTTTAAGCTTTAAGCCACTAGGTCCAGGACTCGAACCGTGGTGAGCTACGTGGAAGTTCAGCGACATAGCCATTATGCTAACTGCTGGTCCCAATAAACGATTCTTTAAAAAAATAACTAGAGGTTTCAAAATACAGTAATTTTAGTTTATTTAGTAGCCTAACAGTATCTATAAGATTCAAGTGTTGTTTTGATTTTTCATATTTCCCTCCTACCTTTTCATATCACAATCCTTAACTTGCTGAAGTGTTCTAAGCTTTGGCTCCTTATTATATTATAATGGTTGGTAAATATTTATACTAAGCTGTGTCTTCATTAACTGGGTACAAAGTCAAAGGGAAAAAGGAGGACACCTCTCCTTCAGGGTCATTAAATTTACAAAGAAAGAATTTTTAAGTCTCCTCGAACGAGGTCATGTACCTCACACAAAAGTAAAGCTCAAATATTTTCAGCTTCTATTGTGATTTATTTTTATTTTGTATGGTTTTTGCCATAGGGCATGTGTGCTCATCAGAAAGAGAGAGAGGGAGAGAGAGAGGAGAGAGGAAAAGTGAGAATCACCCTCTGGGGAAATGGCTATGCCACAATCCCTTCTCTTCCCCTCTATTCTCCTCCTAGGATTTCGGCCATGCATGCACATGTGCCAGGCATGATTTTCAAGCCACCAGGTCCAGTTTTCAAACCGCAGTCAGCCATGTGGGAGCCTGGCACCTTAACCACCATGCCACCTGCTGGCATCTTTTACTTTTAATAAAGTAAAAGGAAGGGAATTGCTGAGGAGGAGGCAGACAATAGTTTTTACTACAATGAACTCATCCACTATTCCTCTTGATGGCTGCCAACTTATCCGATTTCCTTACTACTGGAACAGTGACATCTTAACTCTTGAATAATGTAAGCTATAATACATACATAGATAAATAAGTCAGGGAACTTGATAGTAGGAACTCCTATCTGTAGCACTAATAGGTGTATGGCCACACAATTTCACCTGTGAACCTTTGAAAACGAGTCTACCCATGGTTTTTGCTAATACTTTGCTGAACTATAAGATGAGTAGTAGAAGGACCAGCAGTTAGCGTAATGGCTATGTTGCTGGAATCCCACGTAGTCGACCGCGGTTCGCGTCCCCGACCCAGTGGCTTAAAACTCATGCCAGGCACATGTGCGTGCGTGCGTGCCCAAGATCCCGAGAGGAGACTGGAGTAGAAGGGATTGTGGCATGGCCATCCCCCCTGGGGGGGGTGATTTCTCGCTTTCTGTCTCTATGTCTCTCTGTCTGTCTGGCGAGCGCACGCGCCCTATAGCGAAAACCTCTCCCCCCCAAAAATAAAAAAAAAGATGAGTAGTAGAAAATCCTTTCAAGTAGTTTCCACTTAAATTCTGTTAATTTTGATATATTTAATGGTTTTGAGTAAAAGTAAACTCAAGGAGCAAAATTTGTTTCAAAACTTCTAAATTTTAGCCTGTAAGTATAAAAAATAAATAAAATCATCCTGATTATCACAAGCCACGATACAGAATTCACTTAAAATTGAAGAACTGACTTTTGCCTGGGGAAGACTGTTAAGTACAGCAAATATCCTCCACTAAAGAAAAAGGTGGGGTATACTGACTAATGACCAGAATCAAGTTACTTGGTATCCTCATTGATTCCATTAGAGCTAATATTTTCCAGAATTTCTACTCTTCATTTTTCTCTTTTTACATTTCACAAATACACTTCCTTCATTTAAAGAGTATTAGTTGTTGGGACCAGCAGTTAGCGTAAGGGCTATGTCGCCGGACTCCCACGTAGCCGACTGCGGTTCACGTCCCAGACCCAGTG